TACAAGAGTATTGTATTTGTTTCACCACACTACAAACCAATCTGCATTTGATTCAAAAGCAGCACATAACCTCTACACACTGCTCCTCCTCAGCCACGAATTACTGCAGTTACCGTTTTCTGAGATACACAGGCGTGGGCAACATCTGGAAGAGGACACCACAACTAGCTGAAGAACTCCCACATGCGATGTAAATCCTAATCACCACATTGCAGCAGGCAAGGAAAGTCAGTTCTCTCTACTTTGCTTCAAGACTAACAAAAACGCATGTAGGAAGCAGCTGAGTTTGTGAAGTACCTATTAAAAAAAGTACCACCTATGAAAAAAAAAGTAGGTCAGGCTTAAGAGTTTGACCTACTGATCTTTGCTTTGGCAAAAGTACAAACTGAGTTTACATAATGCTGCTTGCATCTAAGTGCTGGCTGGAACCTAAGCAAAACAACTGTTCTGAATAAGCCTCAGTCATTAGCACAATTCCATTTTTCAGATGTCAGTTTTAAATCCCTGATTTGCAGTACATAGCATTGCAGCCTTACTTTTAAGATTCATATTTTAAGTGACACTTCCGTTAATCCCACTGTCATATCACATCAATGAATGTAGTAAGCATGCCTGAAAGCAGCTCTAAGTTGATTTAAAGAAACCATTACTGTTATTAGCAGAACACAGACAGTTCCCAAAGCCTCAACAATGCATCTTTATGACAATTAGTACCATTTATAAGGCAGATTTACAATGATGTGCTCCTTGGAGGAAAGCAAAGGGCAGACCAAGGCCTGCACCCACACCACTGAATGCAATCCAGTTCTACAGCAGCCGTACACATGGCTGTGAGATGAACACTTTGAAGAGAAAGTTATTCTAAATACGTAAAACTCAAGTACCCCACCAAAAATACCTGCTACCAGAAAAAGACAAATGCAGTACCAGTTACTCTTAAATTTATCCTCTGCTTAACAAAGCAAAGCTATGATAGGAAACCAAGGTTTAAAATGAATAAAATGAAGCTTTGCTTCCAATTTCTCACGATGAAGAATAGCACCTCTGTTCTACTGAGAGCCCTGCCATGACAACTTTCCAGCACCCAACCTCAGTCACGCCAGGAGCTCGGGTTGGAAGGAGAACACAGTTACTGGCTCCCAGACCTGTGCTCCTTAAACTATGGATTTCTTACCCAGTTCTTCAACACTCATTAGAGATCGAGTAACTCAACAGGACTTGGGGAGACACAAACTAACAACTGTATACAATCACACTAAAGAGAAAACAAGACATTTGCTTAACAGATTATTCAGTTGTACAGTAAAAAGCAAATGCAAAAAAACTCGGTTCCCCTCTGGACAAAACCGGGCAGTTCTCTCCCCCCTGCTCCAGCATGCTCAAGTAACCAGGCTAACACAGCACTCTTTTATGAGATTCTTCCTACACATAAAATAGTTCCATATGTTTAAAAGTTGAGCAAGCACAAAGTTAATTCATTACAACAATGCCTCACTGCTCGCTTTTCTTGTGCCTTAAGGCCTGGTCAGTGACAGAGCTCCAACACAGCACACATGCTCTGCTCTGTCAGACGTTGGCACTGCCTGGAAGACATGTAACTGTCAAAGGGAATGGATGGAGATCCTGAGGATGTTGGGGCCATTCAGAGCAGGGGCACCCTGCTTACAGGCAGTATTCAGGACGTGGATTTCTACACTCTGCCAATCCTTACTAATTGTTATGTGCTCTGTGTGGCTCTTCTCTTGGCATTCTCAGAGGCACCAAGACCTTGGGATTTGTTGCCCTGCTCAGCAGCGTGCCAGAGCACTGCCTCTGCCCATCATCCACCTAAGGCAGCCAAAAGAAAGCGTGTTCTGGGACATGATAACCAAGGACCTGATTTTAAACACGTCTGATGCTCACAATGGCTTTGCAGATCACTTTTTAGCAAGCGCTCATGTCACTCAAACTTGCTTTGTGGCGTGTACACATAGCAGCCATAAGATTTTACCCTATGTCTCACTGCGATGCACATATCAATATAAGAGGATGCAACAAACACTTGCTTTGCGTCCACCATACTTAAATTCTGACATTCAATTTTACTTAATAGCTGCTTTGTACTATAAGTTGGAATCACCAGTGCTCCATAGAGAGGGATAACTAAGGCACACAAAACAAGTTGATAGCGTAGCTTGCTGAAGAGATGGATTATTTGATTAAATCTCCTGCTGAATTATTTGACCCACTCTAAAAGCATTCCAAACCACCAACCCCCCCCAAACACGTACCACATCTTGTTTCAACTGTGGGTGCTGGTTGTGTCTTGTCCACAAAAGGACTGAGCACTGCTGCTTAATAACCTGTCACCCCCTTTCTCACATACAAAACATCAAAACCATGATAGACCATCCCACACAGAAAGGGGACACACCATCAGCTTTTGAAGTTCATTACAGAAGCATACAGATACAGGAGCAAAATTCATTACTAGTGAAATGAGTGAGATTATAGGCACTGACTTACGTTAAAGCCAACTTATGCCCTTATTTCTCACACAGGATATTAGTTTATGAATAAAAGGATGTCAGTACAGGAATGCTAGGGTTCCCAGATGGGCGTTTACCACTGTTATACAAGAGGTACAACTGAGAGCTCTGTGAGAGAAAAATCTCCTTTTCCAACTTTCCTTTATAAGCTCAAAGATGTATAAAATACCGGAAACTAAAATAAGGAATGATTCTTGCAAAAATTCGTAGAGGAAGAGCACCAAACAAAGACTTAGATCCACTTTCATGGAGGTGTATTTCCTCTCTGGGTCTATAAGCATCTGAAACCTTCAGTGCCCTCCATGGCACTCCTTCCCTCATAATTACAGAGCTAGAGAGGAATTTTTACAGCCAACAGTTTTCAACTTACTATAAAGCTGCTTATAAGAGTAAAACTTGGGAGACACATCAGCCCTTCCCCCATACTGTTCTCCTGAAAATATAAGCTCCTTTAAATGAAACATTTAAAGCTATCTACATTTTTCAGGAAAAGCAAAACAAAACAAAATCAACATTAAAGCACCCAATTTACTTTGATATCGCATTTAGCAGAAAAAACCACCAGCACCAACGAAGTATGATGTATGCATTACTTTGCATTTAGACCAGAACGGATCTTTCTCCTGAAACCCAAGCCCCGGTTTCCAGTCTCAGTGGCTGCAGAGGGCTGTGATGGAGCTGCTGCAGTGCTGTGTCCCCACATCTGCTGAGAGCTCTGCTCTACGCAGTCCCCAAGCAGCTGCAGCACTGAGGCTGGGCTGCTCCGTGTGCCTTCAGGACTGAGGGCAGCAGCCAAGCGAGGAAACACGATCCCTCCCTTCCTCGTTGGTACCAGGCTGACTTGTAAGGCAGCACCTAGAATTACTCCCACAGCAGATGAACCAAAGGACAAAGAGGCTACGCAAAGAAACGGCTCCTTTCACCAGCTGAGAGCAGGACACTTTAGAAGACCTACTGTGCGGCTGGGAGGGCTTGGGTCTGTGTGCTGAAGGGATCCTGCAGCTTGCTAGCAGCTGGGGCTAAGATACAGTCAGGGCAGCATCCTCACAGCAGTTTCCTCCTATGCTGTACTTCCCCACAGCATCTCTGGCTACTGAATGGCACTCAAACAGCCACCTCATCATTCAGTATCACAGTGCTTACTACAGGAAGTCCATGAGTGAATGGGCATCTTTGCACTTCCTTTGAGTTTGGGCAAAAGGTTCCTTTCAGCAGTTCTAGGCACTGGAAATGCATATTTATATTGCTTCTAGCCAGAAATCTTAGGAGTAATTCAAATCCCACATCAACAAAGATCTACCAAACAGCCATTAAGGAAGCCATGGTATGATAGCCACCTCTCCTTCATGATTTCTAAAAGCCAACAATTTGTTTGGCTTCAAAAGATGGCAATAAAATAAGTCACTGGTCTGTCAAAACACAATTTGAAAAGTGCTGCAGAAAATCCATACAGATTTCATGTTTGCCAGCCTAACTGCAGGTAAAACCTGTCTGCAATCCTGAAAACTCTAAAAGATAGGAATGGCAGGTGGTTGTCAAGCAATCACCCATCAAGTAACTGAGAATTCATGATTTCTATGCACATTATATCAAGGAGCTGTTTTTGTATTATAAACAGACATTAAGCATTTTCCTTTAACAGATATTAACGGTCTGCACTTAGTTCCCCATGAGCAATTTTTTCAAGACAGATTTTACTATCTCCTTGCTGGACAGGCAGAGAGAAACCAACATCTGACACACGGGGTAAGATCTAGGGACAGACACATCTACGTGTTTATCACAAGGATTAATTTATGTCACTGCCAGCGCCTGCAGAAGGGCTCCTCACTGCAGCACACTGCTGTGGGGATGTAAGAGCAGAGAAGCCCTGCTCCTCAGGGCCACAGGCAGGAAGATCACCGCAACAGACAAGGGAGGACGGGACGTCCTATGGGGAGTGCTGAGCGCTGAGCTTGGTGAAGTGACTCGAGCAGGACCAGCCAGGTTCCAGGCTGGACTGACAGAAACAACGCAGCCAAACCATACGGATAAAGACAGCGGGTCACAGGAACGCCCTGCCATCAGCCTCTGTCTGCCGAGGCTTTCAATACTCCACCAAAGGACACGACGACTCCACTTGGAACAGCTCAGTCCTCTTACAGAAGCCGAGCATCAGGCGAGGCAGCAGCAGGAAGTTTTAGAGCACCCTGCTCGCACACAGGACAGAAGCCTCCGGCTCCGTTCCGCGGATGCTCAGAGCACACCCCGCTCCGGAGACCCGCAGGACCGGCCCGCCCCGCGCCCCTGCCGCCCTCAGCAACAGGCGGCGACCGGCCGCTCCTACCGACAGCATCAGCGCGGCGCGTGGAGCGCCTCGTCCTGTTTTAGAGAAAGTAGAGCCGGGTTCTGGGCTGGAAGCCCTCGGCAGCAGCCGGCCCCGCCCCGCAGCACCGCAGCACCGCAGCCCGCCCGCGGCCCCCGCCTCCTCACCCGCAGACTCGCCGGTGTTGATCCAGTCGGGGTTGGCCAGGCTGGCGATGGCGAAGATGTCCGCGGCCAGGAAGAGGCATCCTGAGATGACGGTCAGTTTGTCCATCTCCTCCGGCCGCCGCCCGGCTCCCGCCGCGGGCCCGGGCCGGGGGCGCCTCACAGCCGCGGCTCCATGGGCCCCGCGCTCCCCTCGGCGGCGGCGCCAGGAACGGCCCCGCGCGGAGCCGGAAGCGAACCCGGCGGGCGGGGGAGCGGCGGTGACTCCGGAAGGGAAACCGCGGCGGCCCTGGGCGGGGGGAGGCGGGGCGGGACGTCGGCCCCGGCACGGGCGGCCCGGGCTCTCGGGTGCGGAGGAGCGTCCCGTAGGCGTGCAAATGAAACGCTTGTCTCGAATCAACGCGGTGCCGCAAAAACCCTGCCTTCGTCACGGGAAGGAAAAGCAAACGCAACCTGCTTCCGCTGCCTTCCTCTGCGTCTCAGCCAAACTGACGAACCCACGTTCACACCGACACGCTTTCAGTCCCCATTGCCTACAGGGGTTCTGTGCTGTCCTTTACAGCCCAAATCTTCGCTGCAGCCACGGGAAAGGTGACCAAGATCCCGCTGCTGCCCCGTTACGTCCATCTCCTGGAGGAGACACGGATAGCAGCACCTGCTCTGCGCTGCGCGCCTTGCGTTCCAACGGAGCACATGGGCACGGCGAGTTCGGAACGCGAGCGCGGCCCCTGCTCCGCGGGAGCAGCAGGGATCCAACCAGGCTACTGGGAATGGAGAAGTTAACCCACACTGTGGGTAAAAACTGCTGTGGAAAACCCCCTTCTGTTATTCGGTACCCTGTTCTCTACCTGCCTTTAACACATCACTATTTGCAGTGAATGTTTATGTAACAGCGCTATTGCTTTTTTTTTTTTTTTTTTTCCCCTCTTGGTAAAAATGTGTGACTAAGAAATCAGCCTCTAAATAACTGCTTTCAGGCTCTTTATTTGCCCAGAGCTGGTTTATGGAGTAATACTTCTTTGTCAGTATCATTATACAATTTTTCAGCAGCAACTCAGCAGGCAATGCATGGCCAGAGAGGCACTTAAGGAGGAGGGACTGAGCCATTCAGACAACTGAGAACAGCTACAGCCCCTGGTAAATGTCTCAAACATCTTATTCAATAATACATTGAATACAATTGAATTACAGTTTAAACTGCTTAAGTTATCCCTTCACTTCTCACAGGGCAGCTGCCAGTGCTGGAAAACATCACTTAACACAGGCTACAGAACTAAAGGCAAACATGAGGATGGGGGAAACAAGGATTGGGTCTCACATCTGTACCAAACAGACCTTGCTGAGGAAAGCTCTGCAGCCAGCGGTGGCAAGCTAAAAGTACAAAGAAACAGCAGTGATATTCAAATTTAACAGCAGAAGAAATACTCCCTTTCTGCACTGGTGCCTCGGGGCTCTCTCTGATTTATTTACACAGATCAAAAGAAACTCAATTTAAAATGACAGAGCAAAGAAGCAAGCAGAAACTGCATAAAGCTAAGTGCCAGAATTCCATTGTAATGAAATGCCTCTGATCTTAAAATAGCTGATATGAGCAACTGTTTCATCACAATCAAGATTTAAGGCTATATGCAAATTCTGCAGGTAAAAAAAATCCCCTATTCATCACCAGGCTTGTTCAAAAACCAGTTGGACTATTACCTTCCAATAGCAAGAAAGCTCAACATTTTCATTCTTTGTTCAGTGCATTCTTGTTCAAATCATTTCACTCTATGAGTAACATAAAACCTGATGGCTTGAAATTAATTTCCCTTTTTGTTTGCTTTCTGCTTCTCTTCATTACACAGAATTACACAAAGCAGCAATAAACCAATCTGTTCTCTGACGATACACACAGGTGTTCCTCCACTAAATACTTTAAACCTGAAACACACCTTATCAGTATTAGCAAACTACTGCTGATGATTAAGGTTTCTTGAACATCAGACACTTCTATTAAGCTTGTAATTGAAAGCTCTATAAATTTGACTGTTTCATATGGGTCCCTAGACCAACTACATTAAATTCATAACTACAGTTTGGGGACAGTAGTGTGCTGTGTTATTAGCAAATATTAATTTGTAATTAGAAATCTATGAAGCAAAGTCTTAAGGGTAATGGAATAATTTAGAATTTCCTGGCTGTCCAGTGGAAATGCTTATCTTCAAATTAGAGCAGTTCTCCCAGCATTGTCCTTATAGTTCCAGTGGTTTCCTTCTGACATGTTTCAGAGAGAATGAGAAGTCAAGCACTAGGAAAGAAGATCTACTTGTATGATGAGGTGAAAGCCATCAAGCAGAGTTCTTTACTTATTTTAGAGAAAACTTTTCACTTTTGGTGCAAGTGTAAAAATCAGAGAAGTCCTGAGCATAAATAAGAAATGGATTTGCATTTGAGCCAAGTATTTTTTTATTATTAGCTTAGGAGCTGATAGCTTTCATCTATTCCCTAAAAAAGCCCTTAGAATATGAAGCATATCTATGATTGTAGTTTGGGAACTTTTCCTCTGCCCATCAGGTCAGTAAGATTCCTTGGGCTGCCTAAACTTCCCTGCTCCTAGTCCAACTCATTATTTTAAACATTAATGGCAGAATGACAGTTGCGTATGAAGGCATAAACTCTTTGGACGTGGTTATTCCTGGTATTCTCATTACACCACCAGAAGATACAGTGGATCTACCTCTACTACTAAAGCTACCACACACAGCAGCACCAACTAGCAGGCGACACCTGGAAAAACAGGATTACTATCTCAGAAATTCCCTCTCTGATGGATTTTTGGATGAAGTCTGCCTTAAGTATAAGCAACAAGGTAATTTAGAACAGCAGTGCAGTTATGTCAGGCTATCATTAGAAACTAAATTGTTCTGGTAAGCACCCCAAGTAGTCAAGACTCAGGAATGCTACCAGCCTGAACACAGAAGTGCCCATACTGACATTAGTACCAAGTTTTCTACTATTGGGTAGTTTGATTAGTTTTATATAAATCAGTACATATGTAGTATATACAACTGCCCTGGATAGCACTAGTAACAGTTGTAAAAGCGAGCAGCTCATACATTCCCTATTGCTCACAACACATCAACATGCAAAGTGAATTCCTCTAATGACATGGGGGAGTAGTGCTGGAAAACAAACTGACGAATGCACACAAACACAAAGGACAGCTGCTTCCCAAAACAACACAGTTACCGCTGGCAGCTCTGACAGATACAAAGGGAAGTGCCATTGTTGGCAGAAAAAACTGAATTCACAGAGATCCCTGTAGGACGTTGCAGCACCTCCAGCCCGGCCCCAACAGCCGCCGTGCTGCAGGCCAGCAGTGCCACCCCCTGGGCACTGCTTCTCCTTAGCCACTCCTTCCTCTGAATAAGGAGCATCAAAATACCCAACGTGACCTTACCAAGCCAGGAGCAAGCTGTCCTAAACCAACTTTCTTGCTTACAGAGGGAAAAAAATAAAAATACAAAGCTCCAGAGAACAGCTTTATTTTACATGGCAGGATTTTTCAACCCAGAGGAACAATTTAGAAAAATGGAAGTCTTTTTAAAGATTGCAAGTTTATTGTGTAGTATGCTTAAGAAAAAGAGCAAGCCAGGTGAAAATGGAAAGTACAAAAATAAATACGCTTTTATGATGATATTACAACCACACACAAAATAAAATCAGATAAAATTAAATATGTATAAATAAACATACTAAGTACAAAACCAAATTCTGGCACTTGTCAAGAGAAAGGCCTCATGAAAGTTCAAACAAACAACTGCAGTACAACACCTTGTTACACAGACCAGAAACATGCTGGAAGTAAGAGGTGCAGATGTGAAACCTGGAGGTAAGCACTCACATTTACTAACACTACTTTTATATCAACACACTGCCTATTCTAACAATACAGACAGCATATAAAACAGCCTTTAAATACACCAACCCTTAGCACTGATACAGCCACAGCAGGCTTTTGTGTCACCTGTGACACGGGTCACACTCTGTCCTTTTCCCTCAGATGTTTTCCATTTCCTGTGATAATCCAAACACAGGAAAGGTGGGAGCCAAAGCAGACATTTGATGACTGCTGGATAAGCAGGAAACACATCAGGCGTTTTTTGGATTGCAATTTTTTTCTTAAAATAAATCACCAAATTGATATGAGGGCAGCAGGTAGTTTACTGGTGTAAGCTTTTGCATTTACACCAGCAGGGAACCCACCTCAGAGCCACAGCAGAGCCGCCAAGCAGCATCTACCTCCAAAGCCTTTCAGCAGCCTTTTGCCTCAGATTTCTAAGTATACAATTTGGTATCACCTGTTAGAAACATTTAACACTGTCACCAGCTGTGGAAGACAGACTTACTGCAACTCACAACTACTGCCACAACCACGCCAGCTAATTCACCACTGTCCCTGCAGATACTCTCTTCATCCTACTGTTAATGTTCTTTTTTTATAGCGGTTGCAAATTATGTTATTGTCCACTCTTTTTCCCCTCATATCAGTGAGAAAATGTTACACAGGCCCCACTGTGTTGCACTGTATTGACACTGGGAAGGAATCAAAGTAACTTCATTTTCAAGTGATCAGTTCCCTAGTACTACTCTAACAGAAAACCAAAAAACAGCACTGCACAGACTGCAATAGCCAAGCTTCTCTCTGCTTACTTCTGATGTTAACAACCTATCCTGTCTGAAAGTTGTATCCTTAGAGACATAAATAAATAAACTTCCAGACTTATGCTCCCCTCAGGCTGAAGCATAACACCCATCAGAATGATGATCAAGGCAAAATACGAGCATCTTTCAGCATTCCATTTTCTTAAGGACGGGTGTTTTTGCAGGATTTTGGTAGGGATTTTCTTCCCCTTGAAATCAGGAAACATGACTTCATTTCAATATAAGAGATGTTAGATAATGGTATAACAGAAACTGCTTAGAAAAATGGCAATTGTCATAAACAAAACATAAGGCATATTAATTATTAGTTGTGTGCAAGTCTGAAATGGTAAAACAATTGAAATCTTGCCTTCTCAAGTTTCTGTTGAACATACGCTTCTCTTCATCCAGCCCAAAAGCTGTTTCCATAAGGAAATGCCACAGATAGCAAGGAAAAAACATCCTAGGACATCCAGCACAGTGGTTTGATTTATCATGTGTATAAATGTGCAGT